GTGGCCCCAGTCTGAGCATCTGAGACCCAGGAGTCCTCTGCAGAGTCCCCAAGGCTGCTGCAGCCCAGGGTCCAGGTCACCACCCGACTCACTTCCTGTCTGCATGCACCATGGGACAGGCTGCCCAAGTAGGCTGGGGAGCTTGAGCCAACAGCTATCTTGGAGACTTCAGCCCGATTGCTTATTAGTTTGGATATATTTATTTATCTGTGGTTCTTTGAGGTAGGACTTTGCTACATATTTCAGGCTGGCTTTGAGTTTGCTATGTAGCCTAGGCTGTCCTTGGACTCAGGGATCCTCCTGTCTCAGCCTCAGTGCTGGGATTAGTCGTGCACCTGTATGCCTGGCAACTGACTGACATAGTTTGACATTAGACATAGCTATCTGAAAAGTTCCTTTTCTGTTAGTCCATGTTTACAGTACATAATGATTGCATGAGGATGGGGAGCTGGTTCATGGACATCATACATCTTTTGTTACCTTTCCCTTGCCTCTTTCCCTGTTCTCCCAACTCTTGGTCCCCTTACCATTTGCCAAAGCTCTATCCCCACACCCCCATCGACACATGAATGGGTAAACAGTGGAGTACTACCCTGCCGTAAAGGATCAGTTAGAGACTTTTACCCGTAAGTGGATGCACCTTGACCGTAACATGAAACCAGATAGGTCAGACATGCACAATTACCTATCACATGGCTCCTCTTATATGAGAAACTAACATATATATAAATAAAGAGCAAAATAGAACAGAATAGGAAGCAGCAAAGGGCTGGAGACTTGGCTCAGTGGTTCTGCCACCTGCCTCGCAAGCACAAGGACCGGAGTTCAAACCCCGGTACCAAAAAAGAAAAAAAAAAAAAGGAAGTAGGGAGACCTTTTTCAAATCGATGTGTAAAAGGTCATCTTTAAAAATTTTTTATTCCCTTTAACCGTGGAGAGGTAGCAGGCCTCAGGAGGTATACAGAAACTCCAGCAACACGACACTTTGAGTGCATTAAATAAATATAAATTTTATTAAAAACACTCACATAGCGTTATCAGGAATGATATAATAATAAACAGCTTTCAAATAACCTGCATTCATAACATTACAATACTTTACAGTATTTATAACCATCCTTAGATTTTACAAACAAACCCAACATCTCATGAAAATGAAATGAGACTAAGTTAAAAAAATAAAGCATAGAAAAATGCACACAGAAGTTCTTTTAGTGTCCAAATGCAAACATTTCCTACCAGAGTTAGCCACCAGCTTTGTACATCACTGTGCATCAATCAAGATGAAAAATTCATTCAAGTAAAGTTGCCACCACTGAAGCATTTTCAAGTATGGCTATAGTCAACCTGACAATTCCCATAGAAGCAAACTGCACACTGGTTTCCATTCACCGAGGCAGGCCAGATATGTACAGTTAGAGATCTGATATTTACAATACACCACTCAGCTTCCTTCCTGTGTAGCCTCTTCTCACCCACCCGAACTACACTTCCCGCTCTAGTTGGCCAGCAGTTTGAAAATGGCAGTGGTTGACACAGTCACCAAACAGTCATTGGATGGCTACTCAGTATCACCAAACCCACGTGCAGTGCTTTGGGTTAGAGTTCATGGAAAACTGTATAACCGTGTGGTTTGGATGCAAAGCAAATGGCTTAAAAATGCTTATGAATTGGACACAGCCAAAAGGTTGAGAGCTTTTTAAAAGACAAAAATCATCTTATAAAGATTTGGCTAATAGAAACCAAAGGCCTCCACTGATTAAAGATTTGACCAATGAAACCCAAAAGTCTGCAGTGATTAAAGATTTAACCAATAAAACCCAAGAATTTTCACTGATTAAGAATTTGAAAAGCTAGTAAGCAAAAATGTACTGAGTGCTAAATGTAATTGTACAGTCCTGTTGGGTACCATGCCTGAGGTGTTCGGCCCACTGACGGAAGTCTTCATGAAGTATTTGCCTGACCATGAGATCACAGAGGTTTTATGGAGAGTGTAAATATTCTGGCCAACAGCTACTTTCCAAACTCCTAGCTTACAATTTTCCCTTTATCAGCTCAGTGCATTCTATTTTCATGTTTTTTTTTTTCCTCCTTGAAACAGTCAAAAGAGTCTCCAAACTTTTCTTTATAATTAATAGCCAACACATTTACAAAAATTAGTCTTACATCAGTACATGTACAAGTAAAATAGGAGGGATTCAAAATCGAGGGGTTAAATCCCTGAAAAAGAATATGTTTATTAACCGACAACAATTTTATACAAACACAGATGACGTGTTGGCCTAAGGGGGAATATGAGCTGAAATATCCCTGATTTTTTAAAACAAAAAGGTCAAAGTTCAAGTTATACTTGCTAAGAAATCAAGTATTAAAAAAAGGTTTTTTTTTTAATAATTAAAAAAAAAGACTTGGACAAAATGATGGTACATAACGCTATAAGCTTTCACTCTCGGTTCAGAATCCTATTGCCAAACTAGTGCTGAGGTATATGGCAAGTAGAAACATCACTCAACCCTTTCATGAATTTTCAGCGCACATTGATACCACTGTAGCAGGCTGAGTAGCACCATCGTGATGTGAGTTCGAATTCAATTCCATATATATGTATATATTTCACTTTTTTTACAGTACTAAAATACTAAAGCATCGCGTTAAAAAAGTTTTGTTTACAATTTAATTTACTATACAACTCTTGCACTTCTTTATACAAATTAATGATTTTAAAACCACTACAGCAAACCAGCTGCCTGTTTTGTTTATTTATTTTCTCTTCAACCAACAGACACACACAGAACTAACCCTGTTTATTCATCTTTTGCCGGAATCAGTCCACCCAATCTTCCTGCTAAGGAGGACACTTAAGACATGATGACATCCCAAGGTATACAGTTACCAACGCAAAAGCAGACGCTGTTCAGCTTCTGACCAGCGAATGGCCGCTAGGAGAGCGTAGGCTCGAGTGGACATGTGGCTAATTAGGACCTGTGTCTAACAGAAAGTTCTTACAGCTGACATGTCAGAGCAATGAACGTGTCTCACAACTTTGTAGAAAACTGTTTTACAGTATAGCACACGTGAGGTGAGCACCAGAAAATGTGTTCTGTGGACTGACACATTTCCTTCAATCCAGTACGCCTCGTTTCGGATTTCACTGGCTGTGTTAACAACGAACACGACTGCTCATCAACAGATGTGTGACCAAAAGCAAAAAAACGTTTTAAAAGCTTTCCTTGTTTCTTTCAGAAAAATTTCATCCTCAAATGAAAGTAAACTTTTTAAACGTCTCAGTACCTTAGCATTGTTCAAGTTGCCAAAGCTTAGGTAGGCAAAGTGCTTCTAAAACACCATTTAAAATATTCATCTACCTGTATGTGCACATATATAAAGGTGGGTATAGATATACATATATATATGTATATGTGTGTATATATCTATCTATATATAT